CTATCTTGCCGTCCGATCATTGCAAGAAATAGCCAAAATCAAGCAGGATAAAGCACCCCTTGGAGCATTATGAATTCTATCAGACTTTTACGTTGACGATCTTATTACTGGAGCTAATACAATACAAAAATTAAAGGAGATCATTCAGGAAATCAAGTCTATTTTAAGCGAAGCTGGATTTTGTTTGCATAAGCTGGCTTCCAACCATCCGTCAGTTCTTGAAGGTTTGACTCAAGTAACTTCAACTGACCCTTTGACATTTGACAAAGATTTTACCACATCAACGCTTGGATTGCAATGGAATTCGGAGGAGGATCAGTTCAGTTTCCACATTGACAGTTCTAAACAGTTTGAAAGGATCACTAGACGGCAAATCTTATCTAGCATAGCTCACATATTCGATCCGTTGGGATTATTAGGACCAGTCATCACCACAGCAAAGATTTTAATGCAAGGGCTGTGGCAGTTAAGACTGGATTGGGATGAAGCAGTGGCCCCTCCCTCAAGACATCCACACTAAGTGGTAACAATACGAGTTAGAACTTTCTCAACACTAAATCAACTTCGCATATCACGAACTGTCGTTGTACACAGAAACATTAAGAAAATAGAATTACACGCCTTTGCAGATGCTAGTGAAAGAGCATGTGGAACCTGTATTTATGTACGCACTACCAATGCAGATGGTTTACATTATGCAAATATTCTGTGTGCAAAATCTAGGGTTGCACCATTAAAGAAATTGTCTTTGCCGAGGTTAGAATTATGTGCTGCACTATTGGCAGCTCAGTTGACTCGGAAGGTTTTGATCGCTATCGACATTCAATTTAATGATGTCTATTACTGGTCTGATTCTACAATAACTCTCGCATGGATCAAAGCATGTTCAAGCAAGTGGACCACATTTGTAGCAAACAGAGTCAGCATGATTCAAGATTTCTCAAACCCAAATAATTGGCATTACGTGGAATCATCACAAAATCCAACTGATATAATTTCGCGAGGCATATCTCCAGCCTCATTGATTCAATCAGATCTCTGGTGGAAGGGTCCGTCATGGCTTTCTACCGATTCTAGCAAATGGACAAGTAGTAGATTACCAGCAGCAGCTGAAATACCAGAACACCGCAAGAAAGTCATCACATTAGTGTCCACTTCATCAATGTGGCTAATTTATCACAAATATTCATCTCTCAACAAATTAACACGACACAGTCAATGTCGCTCGTGCACAGGAAGAAGTCGGTCGGGCGTTGACTTTAGATCATTTTCGGGGATACCTTTTCTTGATTTTGATTAATTTTTTAACGCTAGTTTTCTAATTACTGTCTCAATAAAGACCAATTAAATCAATAAGAGACTAACTGTGTCTGACACTGACTGGCCAACTTATCAGAAACCGGTTTTTGAATTATTAAGAGTAATGTTTGCGATGCGGCATCTTGTGATCAAGGTGAGCTTCCTAACCATCGGAATAATTAATTATAATTTCAAAATTTTTTGATACATTAGTTTTACATTTTCTTTATTTCGAGAATTTCAAAATTTCTTTCCCCCTTTTTTCTTTTTTACTGCATTCTTATCTGGATTTAATTCTGGCATTTATACTCTCGAGATGAGGAAGATCACCATGACTAGTTAATAATTGTTATATTCTATGTATGTGAATTTATTAGTTATCTCTGAAGAAGGCTCAAAAATGAGCCGAAACATGTAAGCGCTTTAGTAAAATAAAGAAGTTTCACGCTACGATAGTCGTGTTATTTGCGCAACATCTCCCACGCTTGACTCCTACTGCCCTTGTTCTTTCATTGTTTT